CAGGAATGAATATGCTCAACTACTAACATTACCTGTCCACCAATGATGCTACCACAGAAAGGGAATCCGACAATAAAACAGCCGTCGTCTTTGCAATAATAAGTACCACGTTTGACAAAATTGTTATTGTAGTGAGACGAGTATCCCATATCTGAATAAGGGGAATTACAGTAATCGAATCTTCAACGTACTGTATCAATTTTTATCTTCCATTCATGTGAATTACTGAAGATTGCAGCCGCTTTTTGTCTTATTACTTTTCTTCGGTTTCTTACACGGAAAGGATACTTATTGTTAGTAAAATTTCTAAAGAAGCTTTTATCGATCAACTAATATTCGTCCTTCTCAACAGCTTTTTTCTCCAAGCAAAACGCCTGCTGAAGTTATTCGATCGTATACTCGAAGTTGCTATCACCCTATAACTGAGAAATCAAGTGCACTCTATGCTAGTTTAGCTCTTCCTGGAGTACCATAACAATTAACCATATAGGCAGAATCAGTAACCATTGGAAAACTGGCAACACTGTGTACTTGTTTTTTTGTTGCACTGATAACTTCCTCAACGCCAAATTTCATTATGGCCGATTCACTAAACAAAATTATGCAATTACTAACTTCTTGAAGAATAGATTCTAAGTTAAACTTGTTCGTACTGCTACGCTTACTTTTGACCAATCATATGGGTTTCGTGCCCCTTACAAATTGAGCACACATATGTACAGCTACGGTGCGTTTATCACTGATCATTTAACTTACCTTTACTCGCTGCTCTTCTTCTGTTATAGCAGCCTGATCCACTGCATTAGTAAGAACCTTTTCGTCTTCTTTCCAAGCATTCACGAGATCGTTTTGATTTTTGTAGAACTTTTTCACGCCCACTTTGCCTTGTCGAAACAAAAAACCCATGATTTTTCCGATAGAACTGAAAATCAGCTCTGTGAAAAATAAGCTTGGCTTAAGCGGGTGAGGTTTAAGCATCACATGAATAACGATGAAACTTTGGTTACAGCAGCCCTCTGATATCTTGAAAAAATCAGGTAATGACATAGTTCAAACCACAAAAAGCATATGAGACGCTCAGTTTCCTGAAAACTGTTAAAAGGAGGAGTATTCTAGACGATTTTTTGACTGTGATTGAAAACGTGCATATTGAAAGGAAGCGAGCGTAGA